TCTCCCCCTCATACAATTCACTCATTGTTGCTAATTAATTGATAATTACTCTCATAACCTTCTCCCGAAGTACTACTTGCCTATTCAAAATATATTAACGTCTATATTCCTATAAAATCAATCTATTAAGAACACATTAAGATTACGATATTTAATTAAGCACGTTGACTAGGTATACTCCTGTCCTAACCACAAATCTGCCCCCCTAAGGGTTAAGATCATGCTCTATTTAATTTTTCTCTAATCTAAACATGGCTTTCCCAAGCATAGCATAGATAGTAAATAGAACCTAACTGCTGGCCGGACAATTAAGCAATTAATCACAGAATTGAAGAAACACCCATATATTAGTGAATTGTAATCGAGTTTAAGTCAATGTTAAACAACAATATTCATGGCTAAATCACAACCCCAAAATTATGGGGGTTTAGCCATTCATAATACTAACAAACAATTTCATAAGTTTGGATAATTGAAAATACTAAGAAAAGATGAAGAAATCTGAGATGTTTTTGCTCCCCGATGTCTCTTGTGTGTATCCTCTTTCAAAAGTGGCGTCTCCCTTTCACAAATAAGTTTGCTTTTATACGTGTTGGGTAGGTCTAGGGCCGAAATAATCGTGCTCCGGATCATTTCTACACATGAAAACACATCAAATTAATATAAATCAATACATTTCACATCCTATTCACGAAACAAAAGTAAAATATGAGGCGATATACATACAAATATATATACTTTTAAGCTAAATATCACATACTAAAATAGTAAGACTGAATTCTGCTCGTACTTTAGTTATATGTGCCTGAAGTGTATGAAAAAAGGCATAAACTTCAGTCATATGTGAAGTTCAGTCATGTATGTGACCTATCAATTTCAGATAAAATTTGTAATTTCAGACAGATTTTTACAACTTCATTCTCATATATCTAAAATTATATTCTTAAGTAAGTAAACTTGCAAAAAAAATTAACCTTCGAGTACAGCTTAAACAGCAATCCCAAAATCGGGATTTGTGCATTTCGGCCGGAATAAATATTATGTTAATTGATCATTCAGGCCCATTTTCTTTTCCGATAACTTGAATTGGCCCATCCAGCCCAACCAAGAGAACTCTGTAGTCTGTACTCGATAAATAGCGAGAAGGGTTCAAGAACTAGTAGGAATTAGGGTTCGTGCTCTCCAAAGGAATACAAGAGCTGCAGCGTCCACAGGAAGATGCGTTCTTGATTTAATCCTTTGCCTCGTTTTGTCTGAATTTGATTATTCATAATACTATTGTTATGTAGAAAACTGCACCTGGAAATAGGATCTGTGGCAGCAGAAGCATATGCCCAGACGCCTAATATATAAAAAGTGCATATACTGAATTATAGGGCTCCGCTTTGCAGCTAGGAATAATCTCATGTCTATGCTGCCTGTATTGCCCTTACATTTCTAATGTCTATCTGATATTACCATAAGCTTTCTTAGTCAATTTCTGCTTGAACTTTCAAGTTATTTATCAGCAGACTTTTCTATGGCTGTTCTCCGTCTATTTTGCTTCCTTTGGTCCTAAAATAATGATAAAATTATTGTCTAATACGGCCATATTTGAGCCAGTAATATATTCAGTAGCATAAAAGAATGTCAGTTAATGTGACTTCTGTATTCATCGTTCAAACTGAGAGTCATTCCTTAGTACTTTTTAGACTGTTAAAATAGCACTGATTTGATCCAAATTCTTCCTTATTTTAGGTCTTAATATTTGAACAAAATAGCACACAAATAAGTAGTAGGAGTAGTACTTTTTACAGAAGAGTTCATTGGTGGGCTTGTTGCTCTGCGTCTAAGACCATTTCCAAGGCTGCACCATTTCTTGCGCCAAATTACAAGAAATGGTATTTTTTTGCTCCAATACAACACTAAATCTTGCACTATTATAGAGCATAAATAGTGTTTATTTATCACTTCAAATTTGATTTATTATTATTTTATTCAATCTTTTTTATTTTTTGGTCTTTTAATATCATATATTGTGTATATAATTAATTTTTATATTAAGATCTTTATAATTTTAATTTTATATCCTATTTTTTGATATATTAATTTTGTATATATTATATTTATATAAAATTATAAGTTAATTTTATTATTATTATAATTGTATAAAAAGAGATATAACCATTATTTAAAAATAAAAAATGCAAATGTAAGATATATTAAAATTAACTGAGCATTAAAATTATCTATGCCCATTTCGCACTTTGTAATGCATTAATTGAGCATTTATGGGAGAATAGAGGCGAAAGTTAAATATTTATGTGGTACTTAAATTAAATTTGACTATGATGTAATATTTATTTAATTATCTTTTATCAATGATTTCACTTTTAGTTGATTTATCCTTTAAAATAATTTTGTAATAAATGATTATATAAGTGGTGAATGTGAATTATATATAATGAATATGGAAAAAAGAAAAAAGATAGTATTAGTTTGAAGGAAATAAAAAATAAAAAGTAAATAGAAGATAATAATATAATATAGAAGATTTGGTGTAAAAAATGGTGTAATGATTTGAGTAAATTTGGTGTTACACCATTATTTTGGTGTGAAATTTGGTGTTAGGGTTGGAAATGACATAAAGACTTTAATTTCAACATCTTTTCCCCACCATACCTTTTTGGTATATTTTAATTAATTTTTTGGTTGTTTTAATATATATTAAAAAATTTACTTTTTAGTATTAATTTATTAAAAATATAACAAATATTTCAAGGGCAAGTTCGAAAAATAGAAGTTAACTCCTTGATATCCGAAATGTTAAAAATTATGAACTACAAGAAAAAGCCAAAAAATTAATTAAATTGAACAAGAGTGTGTAATTTTAATAAGTCGGTTATTGTTTACCCTATGTGTAGACTTTCAAAATTGTTTGGCTTGGTAAAGTTGGTGTATGGGCATGACTTGGTTGGGATTTGAAAGAAGTACTATCTGAAGTTGAAGTTGTAAAAAGATATTTGGAAGTGTATGTGGTCATGAAAACAAATACTTTCAAGTATGAAGTTGAAATAATATGTTAATTTTAATAAACGAATACTTATTTGAAATAATCCTAAGATATTATTTCAAATCTATGAGACAAAATTTATGGAAGTCGCATCCCTTTAATGATTAAGGGTGTGTTTGGTATAAGAAAATGTTTTCTTGGAAAACAAGTAGTAATCTTATTCATTTTTTGGAAATAAATAATTTAAATATAATAAACATGAAATCATAAACTTTCAAACCAACAATCTTTCGAATCCACAAATTTTATAAGCTTTTGTACCGCTAAACTTTCGAAACTGCGGAATTTCGAATCCGTAAATTTTATAATTTCTAAACCTGTATACTTCCAAACACATAAACCTCTGGACTCATAACTTTGGAATTTATAAAATTTTAAACCTTTAAACCGATAAATAAAAAACTAAAATTGAAAAATACATTCAAAAATATTTTTTCGGGTGGGGATGGGGGTGGAGGGGTAGTAGGGTGGGTGGTAACGAAAATAATGAAATTTGAAAAAAAAAACCTTTTTTGGAGAGATGGGGTGGGTTGGTGAGGGTGGGGAATGTTGAGAATGAGTTTTGGAAAATATTTTTTTTTTCTCTTGATAAGAAAACATTTTCTTCCAATAGGAGTAAAAGGAGTTCACAAGGAAAATGTTTTTCAAAATATTTAAGCCAACTCACAATGAAAAAATTAAAAAATATTTTCTGAAAAATATTTTCCTTCCTTCCAAACACACCCTAAATGGCTTGACAAAGCTTATTCATTAACTACAGTTAGAAAAAAAAAAAAAAAAGCTTATTCATTAGGCTGATAGGATGGACTTACAAAACTTGAAGGAATCATTTAAAATTTTTGCTTAAGTTAGATAGACTAATAGACCCTATCTTTATTTTTAATACGTGAGAGGTTTGCTTTTATAAGTTCTATCTTTTATATATAATAGCTCTAAAAATATTTTTTTTTTAAATTTTATATTGTAAATGAACATGAAGACTCGTTCCCTTTTTCTATTGGAGTACTACCTAGAGGGTGTTTGGATGGGCTTAAAGTTGCTTTGTAGTACTTTTTTAAGCCAATCCAAACGAGCACTTGTCATGTGTTATGTAATTCTCCTTACGGAATCACGTCACAAGTTTTCACACCAATTGAAGACTTGAAGTTCGTTAATTTAGATAATTTATTTATGCTATTATAAAAGCAGGAAGGTTCATATTGATCGACTTTTTTAATATCTAAAAATATATTTTATGCATTAAATAAAATGATATTTAATTATTTTCTTAGTAATTTTTAGGATTTTAAAATCAATAAAAACTTCGATTATTTACTTTTTTTCTTATTTGAACTATAGGTAAGAATGGTAAAAGACACCATTGATGTTGTTTCCAATAGGAGGGGAAAAATAATTTTCACCTGCCCTAGCCTTTCACCACTATCAGATTCGACAAATTTTTTGTCTAAATAAGATATCAGAAAATTATTTTTACTTAATAACCTCGCACCAAAACAACTCTACTTATTATCTAATCCTAAGCTAATCAATACAACTAGTAAATGCAACTAATGCTTGATAACTACGAGTAATTAAATATCTTCTTCGGAGCACTAGTACTTTGTGCCTTTTGGTTAAAATGAAAAATATAAAAAGAAAGAAAACAAAAAAAAACTTTAATAAATAAAAAAAGATAAAAGATAAAGAGAAACTTGAACCCAAGTTTTCAGAATTTTTTCCAAAATGTGTACGTTTTAGCTTAATTTTTTTTACTAGTGTGTAGTTTTTGGGTGAGTAAAATATACAAATGTATTTATTAATTGTGATTTAAGATATGATAGACAGGTGTAGTCGGTAATGGACAGTGTTACAAGATCCAGCTAACATTTACTACATGGATTTTATTTATATTATATATAAAAACAATTTTTGTATTTCAGTTTATTTTAACTTGTTATCACATGATCTGTTTGATTTTTCATGTTAGAGATTTTTTTTTTTTATGAATATGCAAGTTCATTGTTTCTATGCGCGATGTGTAAGTCCAATTTCGTTTACGATTTTCGGTGGAATCTCCCCATCTTTTAGCAGGTTCTCTCTTTCCCGATCGAAAACCTTAACCGTCCCCTTCGACGGAGTTCGCCATTACCGGCGGCTTCGCATTGCTCTCTCTTTGTCCGAGATTATCTATATTTTGAACCTCAATCTCATTCCAGGCTTTGATGTATCGTCTTTGTGCGAGAAAAAATCATCAGGTATGGCGCTGGCTTGTGTCAATTTCAAGGTCTCTTGAACTTACAGCTTGTGTGGATGGGTGTTACCCGTTGTATCGTGTTGTATTGTTATCACAAAACAATATTTATTTTGATTGTTTATTTAAAATTGATTGTATTATACTGTTAAATGTATTGTTCCGGAACAACCAAAACCCTCATTTTGTGGAATAACCAATTCGGTGCGGTGAGACCGTTTCCTATTTTATTTCAATTATATCCTTACTTATTACTCTATAATTCTATTTTATCATTTATTTATTTTTTATTTTAACTCTAAATCTCCAACTTTGGCCTACTTTGTCTTCTTCCATCTTTTCTAGAGTTGGTTTGCCCCGTTCTTTTTATCCAAGTCTCCCGTTCGATTCTTTGTCTCTTTCCATTGTTTTAATTTTTTGTTGTTGCTAATATTAGTTAATCTTTTTTTGCTCTTTGTTTCCAAGCTACTTAATTAATGATGAGTTAGTAGAGAGATGTTTTCTTAAATTATTTTTATATGTAATTCTTGATAAATTTTATTACAACAAATATGTTATTTAACACCAGCAAACGATACAATCTATTCAAACATTATATCCATAAAACGATACAATACATTATAAAATGATGAGTAATAATGATCCAAACATACCCTTACTTATCCTCATTTCAAGGCTTTATATTTGCATGTTTCGTTAATTTTCTGGTTTCATTAGGACAGAAATACTTTTGCAAAACCTCATGAAGTAGTATTTCTTAGTACTAGTGGTAGACATATTATAATCCAAGTGTTTAATTTCTCTCTCTCTCTCTCTCTGTTATTTACAGGTTCTCAAATGTAAGAGTCGCATTTCTGGAATGAGTTTTAGCACCCTCACAGAAACTACCTACTACTGGAAATTTCAAGCCAATTACACATTTTGGTCAAAATTTCCAAAAGTTCTGTTGACCATCAACATATTATAGTCTATTTCATTCAACGGCCAAGATGTTTTTGGCTACTTATTGGAGTCAGCCTTCATCTTCTAAAATAGAAGTTTGCCTCCGTGCATTACTCCAGCAAAGGTAAGTCTGTTCTGTTTGCTTCCTTCAGTTCAAATAATGATACTAGCTAGCTTCATCCTTAAAGGATTAATTACGTTGTTCAGATTCTTAGTTTTCTATTTGCTTCTTTTGTTGCACTGCTTCCTCAGTAATATAGGCCTGATTTAGAGCTGAATGTATAGAGGATTCATATTGCCTATCCCAGCTAATTTGGGATTGAAGCGTAGTTGATGGGTCAATCTATTACTTCACTATTCATTATCTCATGCTGTATGACAAATATCATACCATCAACTCGACGATCCAATGTTGTATGACAAATATCAGACCATCAACTCGACGATCTAATGTTGTATGACAAACATCAGACCATAGACATATATGAAATCAGAAAAGAATCCTTTACCTACCCCCCCCCCCCCCCCCC